CGTCGCCGTAGCTCGTGCGGATGGGGTTGTGGATCGATGTCGGGAGATTCGATTTGCAGGCCCAGTCGGAGATTTCCACCAAGGTCAGCGGCGTGTCCTGCTCGAAGAGGGCCATGACCGCGGGCGCCGACAGGAGCGGGTCGGCGCCGGACCACGCGTACGCGCAATCCGGGTCGACGTCGCCGCCGCCGGGGACGGCGTTCACCGCGAGGTTCGCGCGCAGGCTAAAAATGACGACGTCGCCGGGCGCGAAGGGCCGCTCGGCCGCGAGCGCGTCGAGGCCGTCGTACGTCGCTCCCTCGAACGTCGCGCCTTCCGGGAGCAACGGCGCGACGAACGCGAAGAGCGTCGTCCTAGGCATTGAGATGCCGTCGCCGTTGTCGTACCAAACTTTGATCACATCGGTTTTGAAGGCCTCGTCGGCCTCGGCGAGGGCCGGGGGGCGCGGGCGCGTGCCGATGGCGATGGTGCCGAGGGCGAGGAGGGCGGCGAGGCCCAGGACGACGCCCGGGCGCCGGCGCGCCGGGGGGTCGAGCTCCTCGTACCCGGCCATCGGGGGGGTTGTTTGAGAGTCGCGTCGGGCGTAACGCGGCCGGTGGGGCGTCGCTCTGCGACGGCTTGGTCCGGTCGGCGCACCTGAATCGGCTCGTCTGCCACAGCTCGCTCGTCCGTGCTCCAGCACAGGGCAACATGCCGAGCCGGGCAAAAGCTTATGGTTCTGCGCGTATCGAGTGTGCGCGCGCGACGCGTGGCGCACGCCGACGGCCGGAGACGATTGCAGCAGCATCGCTACGACGTGCGCGACGCGCGACGCGATTGGGGCGACCCCGTTCGACCAGGGGGCGGCGCGCGACGACTTGCAGGACGGCGACGCCATGAAGAGCACGCCGTCGAGCGCTGGCGCCGCGACCGCCGCGCGGCACCGCTTCGACACCTTCTCCAGCGTCCGCGGGACCGAGATGCCCCCCGCTCGGGGACACGGGGCGCCCCCGCGAGCGCCACTTCATTTTTTGGCAAAGAAACGAATGCTCGCACCCACATGACCGGAAAGGGGATCCTCAGA